ATATATATATATATAAATTTGGTTAGTTTACAACAGGGGCGGGCAATTATTTTGGGCAGAGGGCTGCTTATTGAGTTTTGGCAAGCCATCGAGGGCTGCATGACAGGCAGCTCAGGGCAGATTAATATTAATTTTCTAAATTTTTTAGGGGACCCATGGGCCAGATAGAATGGCCTGGCGGGCAGCCCCCAGGCCTCATTTTGCCCACCCCTGGTCTACAAGGTACAAACCTACCTGCCTTCTATTTGACTTCAGTTGACATGGCTAATGACATCTCTTTGCTAGTGAATCTCACCCACTCCTAGTACCACCTGGCACTTTCTCAACTCCCTAGAATTCATACATACTAACATATGCATGCATAGATACATTGTCTTAGCACCAGAGGAAAACGTGCCTACATGTCTCTATCTAAATTGTTCTTGTTTGGGTTTATTAAAGGGAAGAGCGTTTGTTAAAGGGAAGAACCCTTTAATAAAAAGGTTTGATAAATTGCATTTTCTAAACAATAACACTTATGTTTATATTTAGATAAAATCCTGCATAAGATATTAAAAATAATTGCTGGAAATGTTCCCCTTGAACATTTTGAATTTTTTTGCCAGAAACTGCAACTTACTAATGCTGAAATTAAGGATCTGGAAAACAACAGGTTAGTTACAAAATAATCTAAAAAATAATTTTATTCTCAGTATACTTTAGTTTCTCTTATTATTTTATGCCATTTAATAGGTATTTATAACATGTATATATGTGCATTATAGAATATTAAAATATATCCATATTTTCATTATAGAGCCTCTGCTATTTAGTTTATTTTAAAGAATTTTGAATGTCCAATACTATTCAAATAAATCTTAAGAATTTGATCCTTGACTTTCTTGAACACTCCTTCAGTTTGCTTTCTTATTTTTTTTCTATTAGGGCTCTTGAATTGGAAAGAAAGATCTCTTGTGCACTGGGAATTTGGAAAAGTGAAAACCAAATACTGACTCCTGCTGAAATGACGGATCAGTTGATTAGAATCTTAACAATGACTGGCTTGCATTACCTGACCAACAAAGTGAAAGCTTTAAAACTTTATACACAAGCAGTAAAATTCTAAATACTTGACGCACATATAAGTATTTCTATTTGAAAACAGGATGGAGACTTCTGGGTTAACTTCTGAAAATATTATGGCTATGATTGTGCTATAACTTAGGAGTTGAATAATCAGAAGTGTTTAGAACTTATGTGTCTCAAAAATTTATTGAGCTAAAATGAAAAAAGCCTCTTACTATATACTTCCAAATCACCTACAAACTGAATTTATCAGTTCACTATATTATAGGGTCTGATCCAAAGTATGCTGAAATTGATAAGAACATCTCAATTGAAGGATTTTTTAAACTTTTAAAGGGCTTTTTATTATATTTATGTTTAATGTAGAAGGTAGGGCAGTGTAGCACCTTAAAGACAAATTAATTCAGAGAAGCATGAGCTTTTGTAGGCAACAATGTACATTGTTAGATGCTGTTACCTTCTGCCTGACTTCAGACTAACCCAGCTAAACCACCTCTATGTTTAATGTAGTGACTGTGCACACTGTGCCTTTTAAATTACTTGTATTACAGTTACTAGACAATTGCTTGTCGAGAATGAAGGGAGTGGGGGATAACAGGGGGAGGGGGCTGGGATGGAATGCCACCACCTAATGCCCAATGCTGCCACTGTTTTACCTCTTGCAGGGATCAGGGTGGGGGAGCTGAGGCCAGCACTGCTGGCCTCAGTTCCCCCACCCCCTGTCTGGTCCTTGGTGCTGCTTCCACGGAACAGGGTGGGGGAGCCATGGCCAGCGCTGCTGACCTCGGCTTCCCCACCCTCTCTCTGGTCCTTGGCGAGGCTTCAGAATCATGGCGGCACTCCCCCATGCTTGGAGCACTCTGATTGGCTGTTTCCGTCAGCCAATCAGAGTGTGAATAAAGTGTTACAGACAGACAGATGTAGGCTTTTATAATATTAGAATTTCCAGGGATAAAGCAGAATGCTCAGGGGTTGGGACATGAACACATTTTGAGGGAAAGATAATTCTTGGCTGCCTGATAATGAGAGGACATGCTGAAAATACACAAGTAGTATTGGCCTCTGATACGGCATTCTCACTCTAGTTTTGCCTGATAGTGACACATCCACGCACGAGGATGTGAACAAGGAATGTTGTAGTTTCATTGAAAAATGGGAAATAAGTTATAGCAGGGCTGTTTGACTTGCGAGCAGCTGGGGGACAATACACCACACAGACTGCACACCTCCCTTCCTCCCCAGTCAGACAGCATGGGGCCTCTAGAGGTACAAGAAAGGAGAAGACAGATTCATATACTTTATTGGACACATATTCAATGTATGGCACTGCAGAGAGTCCTGGGATCACTAATTTTGCTTCAGGCATTGTCTTGTTTACCAGTCTGCAAGCAGATGCACATTAGTCCCTATGCTTCAAATAGCCTATGTGCAAGGAATACCAGATCTGTTCTTAGACTTTGAGTGTATGTCAACTGAAGTCAAAAGTGTGACTAAAGGATGTGTAAGTGTTCCCTCAGTAGCTTTAGTTAACTAACGATAGCTGCCAGTGTGCATGCCAGGATGGGTTAGCAACCTGAGTCCCAGAATGCCCAATGGGCTTCCATGGTTCTGCTGCATTTTCTCTATTATCATGGCCCTGGGCTCTCCCTGCATTGGCAGGCAAAGGGCTGGGAGCCCTGTCAGCTGATTGGAGCTTGCAGGTGCAAGAGGAATCCAGGATCGTGATCTTGGTTTTCTCCCTGCACAAGAAATAAAGCATGATGGGATCTGAAACATGGCACACTCCTATGGCTGGGACCACGCCTTCAGCTGATGGGGCTTGGCCCAAGCTGTCTGCTCCAGCTGAGCAGGGAGGTGTGCTCTAGCACCACGCAGCTTCTGGCCTGGGCCACTGCAGACATGTGGCTGCATTTTCAGAATCAAAAGTCTGTTCACTTGTTTATCTGTTCAGCCTACACCAGTCAGACTGACCTGTAGTGATTCAACTGATTCAGCCTCTGGCTATTTGACTGTCTGTACTTATCAGGGAAGAGGGCTGCTCAAAAGGTAGACAGTCACCAGAATAGTTTTTTTATACACCTTTGACTTCCCAGGTTTACACACATTTCTTGATGAAACCTGTGCTGCTCCTATTTCTAGCCAAGGACAAATGTGGCTGGTGTGGCAAATTCACAACAGAGAGCAGACAAAGACATGACAGGACTGGCTAGAGGAGCCCTCAGTGTCTTCAGAGCAATCCATACCAGTGGTTTTTAACTTTTTTGCCATAGTGGGGCACACTTACAGCTCTCAAGGTGTTATGTGGGCTGCACCCACACAACTTACTTTCTGTGTCTCCATTTAAAAATGTTTTAACAGGATGTCACATAGGCTGCAGCAGTCTGCTGACTGGGCTGCACGCCGCATATGGGCGCAGGACCTAGCTGTGGCTCCAGGGCTCAATCTCAGTTGCCCTTTCCTTTAAGGTAGTTGAAGAGTGATGCTGTGGCCAGGGCAGTCCAGAAGTTATGCTTCTTCGGGTGGTGTCTTTTCCTGGACCAACTGTACAGATGGATGGAGAGAGACCAGCCTTTCACCTGAAGAAGACCCTCCTGCTTTTTTCCCCCAAGCTCCTTTCGCGCTACCCAACGCCAGGGCCGGTCCTGCCACCCCAAATGGAGGCTGCCTAGAAAGTGAGGCTCTCGCACATGCCCCAGCACTGACGACCCAACCCCGCCCAGCCTCCTGCCCCTGCAGCTACATCCCGCCGCCTCTCGCCCAGTCACAGCACGTCGCGCCGCGCCTGGGCCGCGCTCGGGCGGTGGCGAGGGGGCACCGATTGGCTGCGCGGCCGCTGACGTCACATAGGCAGAGATGGGGCCAGCCGCGCCTGGGAAAGGCTTGGGAGGGGGTGCGTGGCCGGCGCCGCAGTGGGGCTGGAGATGGCGACGCGGAGCCTGCTGGAGGCCGGCGGGGCGCTGCTGCAGCGCGCGGCCGCGGGCAGCTCCCTCTCCACGGCTCTCGCCGCCGCCGCCTTCGTGCTGGGGCTGGGCTACCTGCTGCAGCTCGGCTGCCGGCAGCGGCGTCCTCAGCCGCCCGCCG